TTTATAAATTAAAAAAAAAATAAAAAGAGTTCCAGTAAAAAAAAAAAAAAAAAGAAAATCATTTTTAAGTATTTTGATTGTTATTAACACTATTATTATTTACTTTCATGACACTTATTTACAGGTGTCCTAATACTAGATTATTTTATATGGACAACTTGCAAAATTTTCTTCAAAACAAAACTAGAGTTTTAAAAGTTTTAAATGCATACTTGAACATATTTTCAACAATAAATAAAACAAACCTAATTAATAATTAATAAAACAAAAATTGTTGAATTGTGACTCACTGCTTAATACTATTCTTTGTTAATAGGAAGTGTAAAACTACCACACAAATTATATATATATATATATATATATATATATATATATATATATATATAATTTAAATATATATTGTATTTTATATGTATCATATATTATATAATTTATATAATTATTCAGAATCTATACTTAAAATTGCATTAAAACTTATTATCACATTTTAATAGAAATCTATAGTAGAATTCCAGATGATGTCCCACTTCTCTGTTATTCCAGTCTTCTAATCTTGTTAGGTTATTTGTTTTCATTTATATGAATACCACATTATGACAAGGTGTATAAAAGGCTATACGTACTTTCTATTCTTGCCTCAGTCTTCATCTACAAACCTAAGAAGATATTCTTTACTGATAACATATTTAGTTCTTGAAGATACATTTCGAAAAGGAAGTAGAGAAAAACAGGAGAAAAAGTGCCATTTTGGTAGAAGACTGTATGAGCAGTGGTGTGGAAATGAACATGGGAACAAATGTGAAAGAAGCACAGGACTGGGGAGATTCATATATGCGTCTAAAGCTGTTCTTGCAGGATGAAAATTTGAGTATGAGAGCTCACATCTGGTGGTAGATTCTCTCAAAAATTTTTGTTTTATTTTCTGTGATTATATTTCATCATTTCTCACTACCCTTTCCTCACTCTAAACAATCTGCACTACTTGCATTCTTTCAAATTTATGGCCTCCTTTTCTATATATATGTATGTATGTATATACATGTACATTTTTATATCCTAAGTAGGGAAGTATATGTTGTTTGGTGTGTATAATGCTATTTGTATGCAGAGTATTAATTATCAGTATCCAACATTACATTGTCAGCCCTAAAAACATATATGCAAGTAGAATATATGCTCTTGAATCAACACTATCAGGCAAAACTGGGGAGGTTCTTCTCTGACATATTATTCTCTTCTCTTTCACTGAGCCTCCCTTCCCTTCATCTTCCTTTTTTATTTTTCTGCCTGTCCTCTTTTCAGATAAACACACTACTTCATTCACTTTGAAGTCATTACTGTATTTTTCTTTCTTGTTCTTCCATTGCTACTTAGTTATTAAATATTCTGTTGTCAATTATATTTTTACCTAGTGTTATATTCAGGTCTGTGACTATGATTTGCCAATCTGAACCACTAGGAGGTTTCTCCTAAAATTATGTGTGCTTATATATATCGCACACACACACACACAAACACACTCAATATATATATATATATATATATATATATATATGCCACTATAAAATGAATAAAGATAATTTATAGTGCCAAGTTTTAAGCCTTTTAGCTTTCAATTAACCATAGTAAATCATTTTTTTGATGCTAAAAATGAAAATGCATTATTAGTCCAATTTGAAATGTTATTTTTAAAATTATTTCTTTTATTTTTTAAAATTATATTATTATTATATTACTTCTTTTAATTTACTTTTCATAAATTTCTTCTTATGCACTTCCTGAGTCTTTTTATGCTTACACTATCCTTCTTCATGAGAATATATGTAACACACACATGCACACACATACATGTACATACAAAATAGATATATGAATATGTATGTACAGACACACATATATGTATACTCATATATATATACATATATATATATACAATTCTATATGTAATTGTATATCTTTATTAATATATCATATATGTGTTGTAAAAATGATAATCACAATAAGTGGCTATAGAATTGAGAGTAAAACAGTATAGGGGTGTTCAAGGGCATGCAGTTGTGAGGTGTTGATAACAAGAAGTGGAGGGAGAAAATGATGTAATTGTATTTCAATTGAAAGCCTATTAAAACTATTTTTAAAAATCAAAAATAAAATCATTTATTATTCACACACAAAGAATATGAAACATCACTTAAGGATAATTAGCTCTCAACAACACTTCCTTTCCTTTGATCAAAAATAATGTCAAAATAACATTGAGAACGATTTTCATGATAATTTGCTGAAAATAGAAATTTATGACATCAATACCACTATAAAATGAATAAAGATAATTTATAGTGTCAAGTTTTAAGCCTTCTAGTTTTCAACTAACCACAGTAAATCATTTTGCTTGACGTTAAAAATGAAAATGTATTATTAGCTCAACTTGAAATGCTATTTTTTAAATTATTTCTTTTAGTTTTAAAAATTATAATATTATTATATTACTTCTCTTCTTTCTTTACTTTTCACAGATTTTTTCCTTATGTACTACCTGAGTCTTTTTACGCTTACATTATCCTTCTTCATGAAAATATATATGTAATACACACATGCACACACACATATGTACATAAAAATATGCACACATGAATATATATGTATATATGTACACACATATATATGTATATTCATAGATAGATAGAAAGATAGATAGATAATTCTCTTATAATTATATATCCTTATTAATTCCTAAAATACATATATACAAACTTACCAATCTGGATAATATTCCTTGTGCCTCTCCTTCATAGAAGATCTCAGCAATTTGACAACTACTATCAAATGGCCAGCCCTAAAAAAGAATGCATTAAGATATAATTTAACTGTCATTATAAAACTCTGAAATCTGGGTTGAATGAAATGAAACATTTATAAAATGTACTCAAAATAAGTCTTTATAAATTCTTAAATTTATAGTGAGATTTTGTATTCAAAGGAAATTAGCAAGCCACATAAACCAGTTGTGTTTGAACAGAGAGCAAATTTTCAGAATAGCAACCTGATGCTTACTGCTGTCCTCCAAACTGGCTTCCCCAAAACGAAAGAAGTATCAGCGTTGAACTAAATTTAACAATGATTATGATTTTTGTTTATGAAATGTGTTTAATGAATGACTTACCTTCCCTATTTTGTAATTTACCCTGAATTTTCATTTAAGTTTACATTCACACAGAAAATTTTACAACAATCTTTTAAATGTAATAGAATGAACTTTGTTGGCGATTGTGGATTTTAAGGTACTGATTAAAAAATATGGTTCATAATTTCTATATTATTTCAATACACTATAATTTAATACAGGATAATTATACATATATGTTATATAATATATATGCATAATATATTTCTTATATAATATATATTTCCCACATAATATATCCTGATAATTGTTTCCCCCCTACACTTTCAAGTTACTTCCTACATCTCGTCACATGTGAAATTAGCTCCTACTTTGTTTCTTGGGAAAAAGAAATTCCAGGATTCTAAAGGAAAATAATAAATTAAGATAAAACAAAAACTAATACATTGGAATAGGATTAAACAAACAGAAGGAAAAAAAAAACACAAGGAAAGGCCCAAGAAACAGACATACACACAGAGATCTTCTTGTTCACCACTTAGGAATATCATAAAAATGCTAAACTGGAAGCAATCATATATATTCGAAGGGACTGTAAAGTAAAAAGAGGGAAAAATATATATTATAAAACGTTGATTTGTATCTCCTTGCTCTCCTTTTGTTCTTGTATTGTTCAGCTAGAAGTTTGAGTACCATATTGAATGGATACAAGTAGAGTGGGCAGCATTTTCTTGTCTCTGATTTTAGTGGAATTGCTTCAAGTATCTATTTAATTTGATATTGGATGTTGGATATATATATATTTAGTAGCCTTCATTTAATCAACTGATAAACAGGCTGAGAAAGTAATTAAGGAAAAATCTCCCTTCACAATAGCCATAAATAATATTAAATATCTTGGAGTAACTAACCAAATAAGTGAAAGTTCTGTATGGTAAGAACTTAAAGTCTCTCAAGACAGAAATCGAAGAAGACCTCAGAAAATGAAGAGATCTCCTATGCTCATGGATTAGTAAAATTAACAGTTAAAATGGGCTGGCTCACTGGCAACCCCAACATCCAGGTACAGCTCTACTCTTCTGCTCAGAAGAGGTGCAGTGCCTCCTCTCCCTAGTGCTATAGCAGGTGAGAAGCCCAGAGACAGCTCTCGTGCCTGTTGTAGGTGGCAAAGGATTGGGGAGAGAATCTCTCCCCTTCCCATGCAAATGAATGGCAGACAGCATGTAGAACCAGATCCCATGTTCACATCATTGGGTCTGGCTCACCTGCATCATCTGCAATGAATGAGGCCTGTTCTCAGGAGTACTGTAGCTAGCTAGGTCCAAAGACAAATCTCCAGCTCTCCTGCTCCCATGGCCAGGTCTCCGAAGGTGCCCAGGTGAGGGGAAGGGACAGTACTCCACAGTCCTCAGACATCGGACAACAACATGTCTCCAGGAGGTAGCCCAGACCAGGGACATCTACTTGGTGGTAACAGATGCCTGCCGCTGCAGAGCCGACCCAGATGCAGTGGCAGGGCTGCACTACGGTTTCAGGTGGCGTCACTGGCTACTCACACAAGGGTGTTCCCCACTACTATCAAGTCTCTAGTTCTGCCTCTCTTTATTATGCTCAAGTCCTTCTGTTTCTCTTTCTCTGCCATACTGCCACCACTTACATTCTCCTTTTAATGGTGTCTGGGGTCTCTAAGTGTCTGGGGTTGTAACAATAGTGGTCTCAGGTGTGGAATATCCCCCTTATGCATTATGGCCGCAAGAAGACACAGCCATCTCAGGCATGGTCTGAGTTCCTAGGACTGGTGGTCAACTCAGATTAGCTCCCTTTCCAGACCCCTGGTATCAGACTAGTGGTAATCTCAGGGTGACTTTTTTCAGGAAATGGTAGATTACTAAATTCTCGGTTCATAGGTCAGAACCCTGAGATTCAACATAGCCTGTCTCCTCTCTGCCACCTACTGACTCATATGTGACATAGCAGCCACTCCTGGAAAACATCTGGGGAGGGTGTCACATAATTTTAAAACATCAGCTCTTATCCCGTTTTATATTTTACTTGATGTTTTTAGAGCTTTGAACCATATTCATTTAAAAACGATGATTTCATTCTGATATATATATATATATATATATCCTTCACTTAGAAACACGCATACACACATGTATTGTACACACACACAGATAGATAGATGCTAGATGCTAGATAGATAGATAGATAGATAGATAGATAGAGATATAGATATCAATGAAAAAAGTTGTCATGGATTTTTTAGATAGCAAGAAACTATAGATGGGAAAATTTGGAAGGAAAAGTTTCTCTCTCTCTTTCTCTCTCTCTCTCTCTGTCTCTCTCTCTCTCTCTCTCTCTCTCTCTCTCTCTCTCTCTCTCTCTCTCTCTCTCTCTCTCTCTCTCTCTCTCTCTCTCCTCCCCGCTCAGTGTGTGTGTCCCAGACTTTTTTGTTTTGTTTTGTTTTGTTTTTCGAGACAGGGTTTCTCTGTGTAGTTCTGGCTGTCCTGGAACTCACTCTGTAGACCAGGCTGGCCTCGAACTCAGAAATCCGCCTGTCTCTGCCTCCCAAGTGCTGAGATTAAAGGCGTACACCACCACCGCCCGGCCAGACTTTTTTTAAAATTCCTATACATAGATGAATCTGCTTTTGTCTCAGCCTTCCCAATAACTAAGGTTATAGAATAAAGGCAAAACTGTTGTTCTATGAATAATAATTTTGTTATTTTATGAATAATGGATCTTTAAAATACAATATTAGATGTTTAAAATATATTTGCTTTCCTCAATATAAATATAAATGCTTTGTATGACACTGTATAATAACAACAATTTCCAAATCCGAATCTTGTTCAATTGACACTATTCCAGTTCTCTGATAATATCAATTTCCTCTCTGTATCGGATCTCCCTGACCTAGTCACAGAGTATTTTACTCTTTTTATCATGATCCTTCTCTTTTCACTCAGTCTATGCACTTCCTATTGTAATTAAATTTTTAATATTGAGAGCTACTCTATACATTTATCCTAATTCATTTAATCCCCATTTTCACCTTTTGTGAACCACTTCTGTACTTTAAGTACTACTCAGACATTTTCTGTGGCTGTTAATTCTGGGATGCTTCAGGCATTTTGCACTTTATTGACCTAAAGACATAAAGTTACATGTAAGTTACAACTCTAGTTATTGTTTCTGAATTATATCTTTGAGAAATTGAACAGGCCTTTCTTGGAACACTGTATTTAAATGATTTAAATGGTACAGAGGGAATGTATGCTGCCTTTAGAGAAAGATTTTCCAGTAAGAGATGTAGTTTGAGAAAATGTATCACAATGCTTGGTGATGTCACCACTTAAAAGAATAGAACCATTTTACTAATGGCTTTCTCAAATGGAGTTAGGAAGTTAGCATTTCATATTCTCAGGATTAACTGTGGCCACATGAGGAAAATATGTAAACTTCTCCACTCATGAATATTGATATTTGAAAATAAAAACATCCATGTCCAGGCTAGGGACACCCATTTGGACCAGAATTATTCAGATAGGTGAAACTGTAACAGGAATATCAGTACAAGAGCCTGGAGAAATGTTTTTATCACACTAAATTTTAAATTACATTATCATAATAGAACTGATATTAGACTCCTTTTAGATAAAGTAATAACCCCTAAGTTCCCATGATGTTAACATAAAACCTTAGCATATCAGTCAAGTATGAAGATAATTTCTTCTTTTTAGTTCCTTCTTTTGTCTTGTGTTCCCCAATGACTCAATATTTCTTTTAGTAAAGTGATTCATATCCAGTTTTTCTCAAACACTAAAGAAGAAGAGGTCTTACCATCTGTTCAGGTTTATAACTCTGTAACGGAACACTTTTTCTTGCTCTTGGCCTCCTGTAGACTGCTTTTGTTCCAGGGCATCTTCATTCATTTTATTCAAGCATCCTTGACTTCCTATAATATAAACATCTTGTGATGTTGCAGCTAGAGACCACTTTGGCTGCATGGTGAACTTACTGGCCATGGAATATAAATATAATGCTGGAAGGCAGAGCTTTTCTCTTGTTCCTCTCCCCTTGAATGTGTTCTGTGAATTCTCCTTGTCCACGCTTAGGTTTACATCAGTCATGTTTCTCTTTCTTGAATAACATTTCTATAACTTAACTTTTCCCATAGTCTAACTCACCTCATTAAAGCATTATAAATACTTACCCTAAGAAATTCATATATTAGCAAGTGATCCTTCCAATCTGCAGACACCAAACCCAGACACTATTTTTGATGCCAGGAATCTTTTGCTTACAGGGGTCTGGTTTAACTGTCCCCTGAGAGGCTCTTCCAGAGCATGGACAATACAGATGAGGATGCTTGCAGCCATCATTGGACTGAACACAGGGACCCCAATGGAAGATTTAAAACCCCATAGGCAGAACAACAATATCAACTAACCAGCACCCCTGCCCCCAGAGCTCCCAGAGAGTAAACCACCATCTAAAGAATAAGCATGGAGAGACCTCATGGCTCTAGCCACAGATGTATCAGCGGATGGTCTTATCTGTTATCAATGGGAAGGAATACCCTTGGTCCTGTGGAGGCTTGATACCCTAACAAAGAGGGGTGCTAGGACTGTGAGGTGGGAGTGGATGGGTGGATGGGAGTGGATGGATGGGTGGGTGCAGCACCCTCATAGAGGCAGGGAACAGGGGGATGGGATAGAGGACTAACAGAGGGGAACCATTTGAAATGTAAACAAATAAAATAACCAATAAAGTTTATTTGACTTTAAAAAGAATATTTTGCTACAAGTACGCCTCATTTTGAAAATTAATAATGTACTGAACTATACTTAGTATAAATGCATACTGCAAATTAACTATGTTGAAGATGTGATTGACTGATTCTCAAATAATTATCAATGAATCACCCACCAATCACATACAACAAACTGATATACTCAGGTCCCTGTCTTATAACTATATAATCACACGCTTCAAAATTGGGCATATGTTGATCTGTATATAGCTTGAGCCAATCAAGCTATATCTTCTCACTTTCCCTTACTCTGACTGTAAACATGCCGCCCCACACTCCTGGACAAAGTTCTCTGAGACTTGCCATGTTCTGAATAATGTCCAATTCATATGATAGCCATTTTCAACAAATTCTGATAAATTTAAAGTTTAGATTTTTTGTTTAACCATGTAATAGAAGAAGATTATGTCAGTGGTTTTTTTCAGCGATTTTTCCCTTTCAGAGTCACATAGAATTCTTGTCCTTCATGGTAACAAAAGGTAATAATTTTTCAGTAGGCATTATGAACTCCACACTGTAAATATTGCTGAGTTTATTGTAAATTACTTTCCCCAATTCCACTATTTCCCTAAAGCAAATATCCAATCATTTTTCTCAACTCCTTAAAAGTTTTGACTATTGTTTATTGCTTTTTGAAATGAAAGGATGTATAAATCAATATTATTCGTTTTACACCTCTCTCCCCCTCTCCGTTAGTGTGTGTGTGGGGGGGAGAGAGAAAGAGATAGAGATAGAGATAGAGATAGAGAGAGAGAGAGAGAGAGAGAGAGAGAGAGAGAGAGAGAGAAAGAGATTTTCCTTTTTGAAACACTGACCAAATACAACTTGGGTAGGAATGTGTTTATTTGATTATACAACTCCCATTCCACACTCCATCACTGAGAAAAATGAAGGTAGGCTCTCAGTGCAAAAACCGAGAGGAAGAAACTGAAGCAGAGGCCATAGATAAAAAAGTGTCCCTGATTTGCTTTTCATTGCTTGCTAAGCCTACCTATTATATAATATATAACCAGTTGGTCAGGAATGGAACTAACTACTGTGACCTGGGTTTGCCCACATCAGCAAGAAAATTCCTGATGGACTTTTCCACAGGTCAATCTTATTATTGAGGTTCCTTTTTTTCCAGATGGCCCTCACTTGTATCAGAAGAAAAAATTACTAAGCACAATAAACATGTAGTTTGTATAACCCTACACAAGAGTATCCAGATCATTTATATATTAAATATTTTATGTTGTGATCTTATCTATTCATTAATCCAATAGATACTTTATGAAGTCCTAGGCTTGTAGTCCAACACTCAGATTATTTTTGAAGAATTATTGAAGTAGTAATCATAGTTTATTTGTCCCTAACCTCTCTTAACCAGATGTCCCTATAAATAACCTGAGGTAAATTCTGACATATAAAAATTTTAAAGACTTTTTATTATGTTTAGTATATGAACTGAGTTGAAAACCCTGTCTCAGGATGATCAAAGTGTAACTTTTTCAAGAATATGAACAAAGTGAAAAAAAAATATTTACTATTATCCTATGGAGAGAGGTCACTGGTCACTATGTTCTAACTGGTCATTATGTTCTAACACATTTTGGATTTAACCTTTGGCTTTATACGTAGCCCAAGTCAAATTGTTTAGTATTTTTAAATTTTAATTTTTCTTATTTACAAAATGAAGTTAAAAGATATAACCTTGCTTAAATGAATTCATGGGTTAAAAGTATTCAGCATAATGTCTTTTTTTGATACATTAAACATTTAAAGTTATTGTTTCAGTCAAACTCAGATACCTGTTTTGCAGGGTGTCATGACATAAATACCATAAAAGTGATAAAAAGAAACTTCTGCATGATTCAGTAGTCAAAGCTACTATTTTACATAGAGAAGTTAGCAGGTCAAAGTTGATCCTGCAGATACAGGTGTGTGGAGACTCTAGAAAATGCTTTCTCCCAGAATGATCCACGAAAGCTGAGCTTTAGTTTTAAACAAGTGAGTTTAAAAGTCTAATGCAACGACAAGAAAAATATAAATAATGAAAAGCAAGATAGTTGGACATCCAATAAAATACATTATCCAGCAGACATCATCGGAGAAGATTAGGGAAACTGTCACATGGAGTTTCTGATCAACAAAAAACATCGCAGACAGTAATATTCTCAGGCAAGACTGCCATCATTTCTTTTATC